GACGAAGTAGTCTGGCAGTCATTTCAGATGTGCTCTTAATGTATGGTAAGGTAATTGTTTTATTTGATACTTCAGGTTCTCTTTGTGATTCATTAATTTCATTAGTTTGTTTGTTACTCAGTCTCGTTAGTACTTTGTTAATGAAATTTGTCGGGTAGTTGTTCTTTTTGAAAGTTAAGTACAAGTATTGGCGTTCCGCTTGTTTCGCTTCTTCTGTGTTACAGTGTGTGTCTATTCGGTTAAATAACGTCCTAATGCAGCTTATTTTGTGCTGAGTTGGATGGTTACTGTTAAAATTTAAGATTTGATCAGTGTGTGTTTTCTTGCGGTAAACCCGTGTGTTTATTGTTCCGTCATTAGTTCGTGTTAATAAAACGTCAAGAAAAGCAAGTGGTTTTATGTTCTTCTTCTTTGGTAAATTTTATGTTTTCAATCGTTTGGTTGATTTCGTATAAAATATCGTCAGTCTTGTCTTTCTTTACCGTTGCGAAGACATCGTCAACGTATCTGTTCCATGATTTGATGTTATCGTTATTGGTGACCGATTTCTTCTCTAAATCCTGCATGACTGCTTCAGCAAGGAAACTAGAGAGAGGAGATCCCATAGGTGTGCCTGAAATTTGTCTGTAGTAGGAGTTTTGAAAAGAGAATTCCGTAGAAAGGCAAAGATTAAGAAGGTCAAGAATGTCGTTTTTGTCTAAATTAGTTCTGCTTTTCCATGTGTCATTGTTGTTAAGTAGTTCACTTGTGATGCGTTTGGCTGTGTCTAGTGGTATGGATGTGAAAAGGGAAACTACATCAAATGATATCATGATTTCGTCAGGTTCAAGTTTGAGGTCCTTAATATTATTTAGAAAGGCATTAGTGTTGTTAACCGTATGAGGTGATACTTTAACAAGAGGATGAAGAACCATGGCGAGATATTTGGATAACTCGTATGTTGGGGAGCCTGGAAGAGACACGATAGGTCTTAGAGGGATGTTCTTTTTGTGTATTTTAGGCAGTCCATAAAACTTTGCGGTGGAAACAAGAAAATGCCACCGAAACAAGAAATGCCATCTACTTGATTCCTTGCAAAGACTGTCCACAACGATACGTAGGTCAAACCTCGAAGAAAATTGAAACCCGAATAACTGAACACAAGAACGCTATAAAACGACACGACCTTAAATCCCTACCCGCAGTACACACATACGACAACTCTCACACCTTCGCCTGGACAAAAACTGAACTACTGGGACGAGCACGAACAAAACACGCACGTGAATTCAAAGAAGCTTGGTTTAGTACAGACGACAATACTATTAACAGACATATTGATATTCCTGGAGTCTATCTGCAACTTAAGACAAAACGTAAGGACTCTATCAATAATCACATTAATGTAACTAATAATAACTTAAATCCACCCGCATCTGATACACAACAATCTAATCATTCCACAGCGACCATCCCTGACAACGAAATGCAGTCAACCATGACAACGCATCCCTCAACTACCACTCATATCAGATCAACTTCAAAACAACCAATCAGACGCTCTCAACGTATACAAAGTCTTAAAGAACAGCGCGAAACTTAAATATATAAAGCTATACACATGTAAATTTAGATATTCTGAAGAAGACTCGAAGTACCGAGTCGAAAGCTCAATAAAAAACAATTTTAAATCCGGAGAACATTCATTGATAAATATATATATATATATATATATATATATATATATATATATATATATATATATATATATATATATATATATATATATATATATATATATGTAAGGTGTATTTGTTCTTCTGCACAAGTATGACCAACCGGGCAAGCAGAAAATTCTACTTGACCGCGGTGGGAATCGAACCCGCGACCTTCGCATTTCTAGAACGATGCTCTACCGTCTGAGCTACAAGGCCAAGTTGGGAACGACTGTGATTTTGCTTAAGTTGTTATTGACAATGCGGAGTTTCGTCCTTTTACATGTCGTTATGCAGTTACATCTGCAAATGTTGATATATTTGTACGTTTTTTTTTTTGCTCTCAATTGAGCCATGTGTTCACTTGTGGATATATCCACAAGTGAACACATGGCTCAATTGAGAGCAAAAAAAAAAAAAACGTACAAATATATATATATATATAAAGAGATAACTGATAAAATAAGCCATGTTTAATGGTCACTTGATTGATATTTATATATTTGTATATATATTGATAGGGTTAATTTCATTTAAAATAAAATAATTAACCTTGCGGTGATGTATAGTAGCTATAGCTGAAAATGAGTGTTTCAAACATGAAGTCTTACTGTAGATTTATGATTGTTAATTTTTGTTGATGATTGAAGGCTGGTTCCCACCTATCGGATTTGCTCGTCACGACATCGTCGTTTGCCGTTATGAAGACTGGTATTGATAACTGACAAAAATCAGGACTGTGGCGGTATTTATCCATATAATCTATCATATACGCTATGAATTGTGGAAAAAATTGGAAAGTCGTTTTAATTTCAAGTAAGGAATATATCGTATATGGAATCACGCGCTCATTGTATTTATAGAAACTAAAAAAACAATTGCAATTCTGGGGAAAACATGGCATTAATCTAACTGTCCGTGATTGTCCGCTTCTGTTCCATTCCTAGAAAGAAATATTTCCTAAATGGCAGGGGAGGCTTTTCGAGCTAGTGCCTCATTCACTGGCAGAAAATTTGTGATCACCATCAGCACTGACAATGTAGAAGTGGCAAAGGAAGTGTGTAAAACTGCTGGTAAAGTAGCATTAGGTCTGGGCGCTCTGTATGCAGGTTATAGTTTGGTTAAGCAATTAATCGACAGCGCGTTCACAAGAAGTGTTGGTGGCGATCGCGATGATCAGGACTCTCGCGACATTCGACCAGGATGTTTGCATGTTGAGTTACATTGTTTCACAGACGAAAGGTTTCTGGAAGTCTTGGCAGATTACGAATCAGGAAGGATGAAGGGGCGCTTTCGGGAAGAACTTTCGCTGGTTGGAATTAAAGTGGAAGGACTGAAGGTGAAGATTGAAAACATGGAGGAGGTGAATGAAATAAAGGAAGCTATCAAAAAGAGGTAAATAAAAGTGTACTCTTAGACTAAAGTACTAGGCGCGAAAGATTGGCAAAAACTTTCAGCAATATGAAGGTACTTTGATGTCCTAGTAGGATAGTTGCTTTAAAAGACCCTTCCCCCAAGAACAGCTTTGCTTAAAAATACGCTCGCAAAACAAAATTCAATCAAACTACATTGGGGAATGGAGTGTACCACACAAACTATGAAGCTTTTAAGAAACTTGGTGCATGGACGGCAGTTAAACACGAATCTTTGAAACTAGTTTTTCTATCGTTTCGTAAGTCGGAACAGGTTTCTTGTCTGATTTTAAGAAATATTTTTTTTTGCATGCGTTCATAAATTGGAAATAAATCAGCAACTCAATTCCCAAGGGTTCAAAAATTTATTGAGTTGTTACCAGCTTGCCAGTGTCACTGTTCACACCTCAAAAAAACCCCGTTCTTTACAAACTTTGTAGTTTTATGATTATTATCAACACAACCTCGTCTCCAGGGAATACCTCGTGCTGAGACATTCTGATTTGACGTATTTAAAATTAATATTCTCGTCTGAATGTGTGGTTACCGCAAATCTTAGCTCCTTGTAGAGACGTATCACACAAACGGTTGCATAAAAGAAACAACATTTTTCCCTTAAAACAGAACTTATAAAGGTGAAGATCTTCACAAGATGATGAGGAATGTCAACGTTAATGAAGTGGTGACTGAGGAATTGAATGATGTTCCGGTAAATACATATTTTGAAATAGCCTGTAAGAAAATTGATTGGCAAGAATTCGAAATTGCTACACCTTATGTAAGAGAAGACATCTTGTTGTAAACTAAAGACATGTGAGTTAGACTAGAATTTGAATTCGCTAAAGCCGGAGCCTAATAAGAACCCGTAGTAACGTCATCAGTGTGCTCATAGAAAATGTTGTCTAACTAAAAGACGGTTTTATGGCGCAACCTAACAATGGTTCTTGAACGTCTCTTAGGGTGGATTTCTACTTGCAGAGAAATAGTTCGCTAACTTAATATTTGCACATTTTCTTTAGAATTTTAATAACATAAATAAACTAGTTCAACTTGACTGTTCTCATTTTAAAGGAAAATATGCAAAAGCTAGCGAACTATTTCTCGGCAAGTCGAAATCCAGCCTTTGTAAGCGAGGTGTCGATCAATTTGTCATTAAAAACCCGTGTTCGTGTTATATTAATAGTTCTCTTTGACAGTACATTTGTAAAAGTGTGACACTACATCGAGAGAAACGAGACCATAGCTCAAACAAAACACTGAAACTCCTTCGAAGGAACCACACAAGCTGTAATAATTCTAAGTTAGGAAATTTATAACTGAAGATAAAATTGATTTCACAATGACAAAGTCAAAAGATGAAGTCGAAAAAGTTGTCTTGTTTTACAAGATGTTATATTTCGGAGCATTTTTCTTTATACAATAACGTTAAGAATTCAAAGCAATTTCATTGGTAGAGAGGCATGGTCTGTAAACTCTGTAAGAAGACAGGAGCTCGGAATGATGTCATAAAAAGTTAACGAATTTAATCAGTCATTGCTTGTTTGTTTTGTTGGCCAATCAAATTTTAGTGCGTGACCTAATTTCGTCAATCCTATAGATCATGTAGGCGTAATATTTAGAAAATTTTGACTTTTTAACTTTCCATGTATTAAGAGAGACAAAATTTTATTTTTTTTATCATGTAATAATTCGTGTACTAATCAGCAAACTGATGATAATGAGATATACATTTTAAAATATTTAGAAGAAAACAGATAATGCTGACAAGACAGAATATTACAAATCAGCATTAAAGTCGTATCGTAAAGCTCTTGAAAGCAGATTAAGACTATATGGAGAGAATCATCCTGCAACAGCTTACACTTGGTACCACATTGGAATTATGCAACATGAAATGACAGATTACGAGTCAGCTTTGGAATCCAAGAAAAAGGCTCTTGAAATCAGGTTAAGATTATATGAAGAAGATCATCCTGAAACAGCCGACAGTTATTACAGCATTGGTATCACACAACATGAGATGAAAGATTACAAATCAGCATTACATTCAAATAAAAAAGCTCTTGAAATAAGATTAAGATTATATGGAGAAGATCATCCTAACACAGCTGACAGTTATTACAGCATTGGGTTCACACAACGTGAGATAAAAGATTACAAATCAGCATTACATTCAAATAAAAAAGCTCTTGAAATAGGATTAAGATTACATGGAGAAGATCATCCTTATTCAGCTGACAGTTATTACAACATAGGGATCACACAACATGAGATGAAAGATTACAAATTGGCATTAGAGTCCTACGAAAAAGCACTTGAAACCAGATTAAGACTATATGGTGAAGATCATCCTGACATCGCTGACAGTTATTACAGCATTGGAATCACACAACATGTGATGAAAGATTACAAATTAGCATTAGGGTCGTATGAAAAAGCTCTTGAAATGAGGTTAAAAGTACATGGAGAAGGTCACCCATTGACAGCTTCCAATTACCACATCATTGGAGTCGTTCAACATGCGAGTAAAGATTATGGGTCAGCATTAGAATCGTATCAAAAAGCTCTTGAAATCAGACTAAGATTATATGGGGAAGATCATCCTTACACAGCTGACAGTTATTACAACATTGGAATCACGCATCACGCGATGAAAAATTACAAATCAGCATTAGAGTCGTATCGAAAAGCTCTTAAAACTAGATCAAGACTATTTGGAGAAAACCGATCTGACACAGCTGATATTCACTACAACATTGGATTCACCCATCACGCGATGAAAGATTACAAATCAGCATTAGAGTCGTATCAGAAAGCTCTTGAAACTAGATTAAGACTATTTGGAGAAAACCATCCTGACACAGCTGACATTTACTACAACATTGGAATCACGCATTACGAGATGAAAGATTACAAGTCAGCATCGGATTCGAATAAAAAAGCTCTTGAAATCAGTCTAAGACTATATGGAGATCATCCTGACACAGATGACAGTTACTTTAACAATGCAATCACACAACATGCGATGAAAGATTACAAATTAGCATTAGAGTCGTTTCAAAGAGCTCTTCAAATGGGATTAACACTATATGGTGAAGACCATCCTAAGACAGCTGACTGTTATAGTGGCATTGGAGTCACGCAACACAAGATGAAATATTACATGTCAGCATTAGAGTCACATCAAAAAGCTCTTAAAATCAGAAAAAAGCTACATGGAGAAAACCATCCTGAGACTGCTGACAGTTATCACAACATTGGGGCCTCACACTATGAGATAAAAGATTTCACGTTAGCATTAAAGTCGCATCAAAAAGCCCTGCAGATTAGAATGAAGCTGTATGGGAAGGACCATCCAGGGAAGGCGCGGACAGTTTTTCTAAAATTGCAATGACGCAACATAAAATGAGTGATCTCAAGGCATCATGAGAGTCGACTAAAAAGGCTCGGGAATTCAGATAAAAAATAAGCCCAGAAGACTTAGATGAATCAGACGGAAATTATTACACGTCAGCAGTAAATTCACGGCATAAAACCTGCGGAATTGCATTGCCATTATTCAAAGAAGAAGAACCATCCTTGCTCACCGTTATTACAATATTTAAATCACATTCATTGAGGATTTAGAGCACAAATTTCAAACATTTTTGCAGACTTGTTATTTCTTCATTCGAATTTAGCTTATACTTTGGACATAGCTATGTTATATAACACTAATACTTAATAAAACGCTGGTTGCTCGTGCAAAAGACGTATTCATTAAACGCACTGTAAACGCAGAAATTTCGCACGCACTTCATAAAGTTAACAGCTATTTCATCTTTGTGCTATATCATAAAATACTTTAGACGACGATTCTGTGTTGATATTAGCTATAATATTACTGCATGAACAGTCGTTAAAATTTGAAAAAATCGAAATTGCATGTGTAAAGCAATTTTTCGTATTATTCTGAACTCAAGGACGGATGGGGGGACACGTCACCTAGTATTTGGAGTGGGGAAATAATATCCAAGTACCCCCGTATTTACATATTTGATAGCAAAATATAAAGGATACAAAATACACTTTTATATTGCATTGCCGTATGATTGCAGCTGTTTATTATGCGATCTTTGTGTTGGGATATATCCAAATATGAGTAATTTCCACAGAAGATCGATATTTAACGTCTTCTTCGGACTAGATCAAAAACAAAATGGCGTTCACCAATAGTTAATACTGTTTAAAAACACCGTCAATCATAGGTTATTTGATTTTCACATAATTTATAATGTATATATACAATTTGTTTAACTTACATCTAAAGCGATTGCAAGGCAACTTTAATTAAAATTCTAGACATGTACTGACTTCAGTTACACGTTTCAAATTCATTTTGAATGGCAAATATGATACTGGCATACTGCTCACTTCATTCAGGACAATCGTATAAATCCAATTAAATTTTATAGAAACAAAAATGATTAAAATGCTCCTTTCCATGAATTTCCAAAATTTCGGGTTTTCGACGAGCTTCCTTTTTCGTGTTGCTGCCAAATATTCCCAAGCAGCTAGTTAACCTGATAACGCGAAGTTTAAGTTGTGTTGTCGTCCCCAGTCCCTCCACTGTAATGTTGCAGATCTCAAACTTCGAACTGGACTAAAAACTTTGCACAGAGGGGCGTTCTGATTTCAATTTTAAGGCAAAGATATTTAGCCAATGTAGGCATTTATCCATAAAATAATTAACTTTTAATTTCGGAGAGATTTTTCAATCAAGATCAAGTGATACACAACGAAAATTTGGCCGTGAATGAGTTCACGAGTTGTTATATATATAAGGAGTGTGGATGTAAAATTGGGTCATGTAGTGATGAAAATACAAGGTCTAAAAAGTACAAAATTTACCAACGTCATCGGGCAAAACACTGCCCACTTTACAATCGTTTGTAGTAGCTAAAATCGTTATTGTTTTGAATACCTACATTATCTGCATGCATGATATTCAGACAGCCCCATTTACACCACACTCAATTTATTGGCACGGCATGGCTAAAATGGGCACCTGTGCCCAATTTTATTATTGTTCAGCCTACCAAAACAAAGGCCGGGCACAGATGAAATGGGCACGGGTCCCTATTTTAGCCGTGCCGTGCCTCTCCTCTGTGGCCGTGCCAATAAATTGAGTTCAGTGTAAACGGGGCTAAAACCGTTGGTTTTACACACCCGACTTTGTTTAGACAGTTATGCAGGTAGATAAGCCATGCAGGTAACCATCCGCGGATACACTCACATAAAAACAGCGGTATTGTAAAATAACAGATGGCATAAAATTTATGGACGAAAAAAATATTTAAAGCATTTTAATGCCGGCGCTGTTGGTTACTTCAACGGAATGTACACTTAATGACCCGTTTTTATATCATTTTACAAAAATATTTTTACTAAAATTGCTTATTTTTAGTATAAAAAAGGGATTCGAAACCGCTTTTCTTCGGGTGCATGAATGCTGCTAACCATCAAACGAATTGAAAACGTTTCTTTCACTTTCGACTTCAGACATATCGTTAAGGATACGTTTCTTCCAAGAAAGAGACAATAAAAGTCGCTAATGCATAATAAAACACATTCAATGATTCTAAAGGCTTTTATAACACAGCTTAATAAAAAAGTGTGTGTATACAACGTTGAAAGATCGCGTTCGTTTGAAGTCCTCACAATTCACATTCGTTTAAAGTCCTCTATGAAAGTGAAATAACTTACTTTTTGCTTACGTCTGATAGCTGCTAGCAATGTGTATCTGACAACCTACAATATTTTCCTCGGAGAAATTACTTCTAAGCACTATAAGGCCGAAGCAGAGGTGGTTAGGTATACGGCATTTCCCCGCCACACAAAGCCAATTTGGTATTTGATCTTATGTTAATATTTTACAAGCTCGCTAGTCTCATATACGATTCCTGTCTTTCTTAGTTGTAATAAGGACTAAAAGGGATTCGAAACCGCTTTTCTTGGGGCGCTTGAATGCTGCTAACTATCAAACGAATTGAAAATGTTTCTTTCACTTTCACTTCAGACATATCATTAACCGTAATTTCTTCCAAGAAAGAGACAATAAAAGTCGCTAATGCATAACAAAACACATTCAATGATTCTAAAGGCATTTATAACACAGCTTAATAAAAAAGTGTGCATACAACGTTGAAAGCTTGCGTTCGTCACATTCGTCTAAAGTCCTCTTTGAAGGTGAGATAATAACTTTCCTTTTGCTTACATCTATAGTGTGTACCTAACAACCTACAAACATTTTCCTCGGAGAAAAAATTTCTAAGCACTTTAAGGTCGAAGCAGAGGTGGTTATGTATACGGCATTTCCCCGCCACACAAAGACAATTTGATATTTGATCTTTGATAAACAACTTTCTCAATCCAACAAGCTGTCACTAAACCAGTGGTTCGGGCCAAGATTTACAGGGCATATTTTTCATATATATTTTAACTTTAGTGCAAATTCATTTTGTAAAGCCTAGCGCCCTGCCCATGGGTGGAATCAGTCACTCCAGTAAACTTGCTTTAGACTATGTAGTCCACGACTATTACGTTGCATTTTTAGTGGTGGAATTAAATGTGTTTTTTATAGCATCAGCACGTCTTCCAAAATTGCACAAATTGCACATAGTCATTACACAGTAAAACCTTAATATATAGGACGAATACATACGTGTTATAATTATATAGGAAACATAAGGCCTTAAGTATTTACTCCTGGCATACATAGTTTTTGGCTTATTGCAAGTTAATGATAAGATATTTCTGAAACAAGCTTTATTTCTGTACGATCTATCGTGTCATAAATACAAGTAGAATAACAGTTAGCATGGCCAGATTAGATAATGGAAGCACGTAGCATACAAGACTTTGTATTTTTGTGATTATTATCTATAACTTGTTGAAGATGTAAAATAATTAAAGTTTTGTTTAGGAAAATGTTTCTATTATGATATTGATCCAAATGAAAATAATTATGCTGGAATTGTGAGCATTATTACATAAGAGATCATGGGCCAGTTGTTCAAAACTTCATGGGTTACAGATCCAACTTTGTAGACAAGCAATTGTGTGTAAACAAAAAATTGGTGTAAGATTTGCTTTAACTCAGGCCCCAGATGTTTGAAGTCCGTTCAGCGTACATCTTCTACTTTTAACAGTCTATAAACAACATTCCAGGCATCGCCACATAACAGTTGGAATACTAACAGCAGGTTTGTCTTCTTTTGTGATTTTCATTTTAATTAAAATTCCAGCGAAGAAGTGCCATTTTAATTTAGACTGTTGCATAGTCTGTTATCAGCAGAAAATATGCTCAGAAAGGACTTTACATCACCTTGAACACGATTATAGTTTTTCTTGCACAAAACACATGCAACCTTTCGTTATGTCTTGTTTGAATTTTTAATAAAATATTTGCTTTCGATTTAGGAAAATTGCTGGATAATTAGCTTTTCAAATGAAACAATTGACGTGTTTGAGAACGTTTCACGAAGGATTAAGCTTTCATATATAATCATGATCACTCGTGGATGATAACACCAAACACATGCAGTACTATATTAGGCTACTCGATAAACTCGTGTTTTTTAACTGATTTACACAATTATTTGATACTAAATACTGACAGACCAAACATTTAGCGAAATATTGTATGGCGTGCTGTTGTGTGTTTCAAAGGAATGCACTCCAATCTTTTCCTTTCATTTTCATTATTAGTTTCTATATAAATTTCAGCTGTTTGCCATTTTACTGTCCAATTTTTTAATCACTGATTTACTTGATATTCTCAGCACCACCTATCACACCATGTGTAAGCTTATCTTGTTTAACTTTCCATTGACTTTCTAATAAACTAATATGGTAATTTCCAACCAGAAAAAGGAATTGAAGACCTTGCATAACTGAAATGCTCACCTGCTGTCAACACACGTATTTGCAGATTCTGTAAAAAGTGTGAAGACTTGCATTCGCCTAAAGAAATGGATTTTATCTTTTCGACGGTAAGATCATGTCCTTTGTCTCGCTAAATTCTAGTTAATTCTTGCAATGGCGATCTCACAAACGTTACATCTTGTGCAGGAACGTTTCTAAACAAGATCGGTAGGTAGGAGTCGTGTGCAGATAATTCAATAAGGTTTGCCTTTTAGAGCGCGATGGGATAGAGAATACTCAGAACTCTTAACTTAAAACCTCTATCACTGTATATGCACTCCATACACCACGATTTACAGACGGTATAAAATTTACAGATGAGGAAGCCTTGAAGCGGTCAAGCTTCGTCTAAATCATTCACGCGGGTGTGTATTTGAAAGGAATGATCGCTCACTTAAATTTTACTTTCATTTTTAAAAATTCCTATAGCTTAGTTATTTTTCTCTATGTTTGAATGACTTTAGAATTTAGTTAAAATTTACTTGTGCTCCAGTCATTTGAAAGCTTAAATGCTACCTATACGATGTGTAAACTGGTTTTAAGCTTTGCATCGATGAATTTCTGATGCAAATTTCTTTCCATTATATAGCTAAACTATAAATAACAAGACGCCGTTCTGGCGTTAACTCCGGCGCACGTGCCAGTCTTCAATATAGAGCTTCTGAACATAAACAATACAGTTCGCGTATTGTTTCGCATACATATTCGCATTTAGATGCCTTATAACGAACCTAAATGTTCGATCGCGAAATTCAGAAGCACATCGCAGTATAGAAGTTCAATTGTTCAAAAATGTAAATAAACCGCATGATACATTCGCTTCGTCTTACAGTTTGCCTTTGGAATTTGCGGTTATATAGTTATATTAAATCTTCGATCCTGTACAAACAACGCGACGTGTCAACGCGCCCTACACGACCACATCATCTTGTTAAACGGCGAAATAGCAGCGATATTATTAAAATAGGACCGGAATCTACATGTATTAAATATATTCTTACCCCAATTCAATCTAAACTTAATCGAACAGCATGAAAACAACGGTTTATTTGTTCCTCTTGGAGAAATTGCCGTATCATGCGAGCGAAATCGAATCGCGCATTGGAAAATTAGCGAAAGCTGTGCACCACAACTCTTGGAAGATAAGCTGACGTCGCTGACGCCGGAGTAATGATTCATTCCCTTTCCGTGGCGGATTTAGAGTTGATTGAAATAATTATATTATGTAGATACAAGGTGTAGCCAGACAGGGTTATATACTGCTAACTAGCAAATAATGTGAAATCGTTTCTTTCTCTTTCAATTTATATATTATTGCATGATGAAAATTTCTTCTAAGAAAAGGACAATAAAGGTCGGCAATGCATGACAAAACACATTGATTCTAATAGTTTTCATAATACATTTTATGAAAAGTGTGTAATGTATTGCTAGTTTCATATTGGCGTAAATTTCTACCGGTATAGGTGAAATAAATTCTTAGCTATAACGTCTAGATGCTAGCAGTGTGTATACGCATCTAAAAACACACACGAGTTTCAAACGAAATTTATTCTTGTTAAGGTCACCAGGGACTGTCAAATTTCGATAATTATACAATGGCGAATGAAAGCAATAACTTCGCGATTGAAAGCAGTAACACAATGGTTCGGGCATATTTTTCGTTTAACACATTTTGTCTGCTCAGAACTTCGAGTGCTAATTATAGTTTTTTATATAAAAAAGACTTGATATTTTTGTGATTATCGTCATCTATAACTTGTTGAAGATGTAAAATAATGAAAGTTTTATTTAGGATAACGTTTCTATTATGATATTGATTCAAATTAAAAGAACTTTGCTGGAATTGTAAGCACTATTACATTAGACATCATTGACCAGTTGTTCAAAGCTGCACGGGTTAGCGCTAACCCTGCATGGGTTAAATTTTAATCCAATTTTACCCAAATTTATGAAATCCTTACGTTTAAGTGCTTCTGAATCGCTTTTCGTTTAAAAATCTTTAAAAAATATTGCTTTTGTTGGTCCAGAAAATATTTATGGAAACAGATATCCAACTTTTTAAACAAGCAATAAAAAAATTGATGTAAAGATTTTCTTTTACTCAACCCATATAGTTGAAGTCCGTTCGGCGTACATGCTCTGCTGATAACAATCTATATATATAAACAACATTCCAGGCGTCGCCACATAACAGTTGGAAACTAACGGCAGGTTTGTCCTCTTTTGTGATTTTCATTTTAATTAAAATTTCAGCGAAGAAGTGGCATTTTAATTTGCACTGTTGCACAGTCTGTATGCATGAGCAGAAAATATGCTCAGAAAGGACTTCGCATCATCTTGAACACTATTACACTTTCTCTTGCACAAAGCACATGCCACCTTTCGTTATGTCTTGTTTGAAACTTTTTGTAAGATACTTGCTTTCGGTTTCGGAAAATGGCTGGATAATTAGCTTTTCAAATGAAATAATTGACGTGGTTGAGAACGTTTCACAAAGGACTAAGCTTTCATATATGAAGTGAATCATAAAAGTCATGATCACTCGTAGATGATAAAGCCGAACACAGTACTATATTACTCGATAAGCTGCACATGGTTTTTTGACCGATTTACACAATTATTTGATACTGAATACTGACAAACCAAAAATTTAGCAAATATTCTATGGCGCGCTGTTGGGTGTTTCAAAGGAATGCACTCCATTGATCTTTACCTTTCATTTTCATCATTAGTTTCCATACAAATTTGAGCTGCTTGCCATTTTACCGTCAAATTTTTTAATCATTTACTTGATATTCTCATTTACTTGTCTTGTTTAACTTTCCATTGACTTTCTAATAAACTAATATGGTAATTTCCAACCAGAAAAAGGAATTGAAGACCTTGCATAACTGAAATGCTCACCTGCTGTCAACACACGTATTTGCAGATTCTGTGAGAAGTGTGAAGACTTGTATTCGCCTAAAGAAATGGATTTTATCTTTTCGACGGTAAGATCATGTCCTTTGTCTCGCTAAATTCTAGTTAATTCTTGCAATGGCGATCTCACAAACGTTACATCTTGTGCAGGAACGTTTCTAAACAAGATCGGTAGGTAGGAGTCGTGTGCAGATAATTCAATAAGGTTTGCCTTTTAGAGCGCGATGGGTTATGGAATACTCAGAACTCTTAACTTAAAACTTCTATCACCGTATATGCACTCCATACACCATGATTTACAGATGGTATAAAATTTATAGATGAGGAAGCCTTGAAGCGGTCAAGCTTCGACTAAATCATTCACGCGGGTGTGTATTTCAAAGGAATGACCGCTCGCTTAAATTTTACTTTCATTTTTAAAAATCCCTGCAGCTTAGTTATTTTTCTCTATGTTTGAATGACTTTAAAATTTAGTAAAATTAACTTAATGTCATTTGAAACGTTAAATGCTACCTATACGATGTGTAAACTGGTTTTAAGCTTTGAATCGATGAATTTCTGATGCAAATTTCTTTCCGTTATATAGCTAAACTGTAAGTAATTATGATTATTCATTCCCTTAGAATAGCATTATAGCAGTTCTTTCCCGTGGGGGATTTGGAGTTGATCAAAATATATTATATAGCTACTAGGTGTAGCCAAACAGGGTTTACTCAAAATATACTGCTAACTAGCAAATAATTTGAAATCATTTCTTTCTCTTTCAATTTATATATTATTGATGATAATTTCTTCTAAGAAAGGGACAATAAAGGTCGATCGGTAATGCATGACAGGCTAATAGCTTTCATAATACATTTTATTAAAATTGTGTAATGTTTCATAATACATTTTATGAAAAGTGTGTAATGTATTGCTAGTTTCATATTCGCCTAATTATGAATTCCTATCGGTAGGTGGGATAAATTCTTAGCTATATAACGTCTAGATGCTAGCAGTTTGTACGTATCTAAAAACAGACACGAGTTTCGAACGAAATTTATTCTTGTTAAGGTTGGCAGGGCCCAGGACTGTCAAATGTCGACAATTATACAATCGCGATTGCAATTGAAAGCAATAACTTCGCAATTGAAAGCAGTAACACGATGGTTCGGGGCATGTTTCTAGGGCATATTTTTTGTTTAACATATTTTGTCTGTTTAGAACTTCGAGTGCTAATTATAGTTTGTAATAAAAGCCTTACGCGCCGCCAAGTCAGGAAAGAAACTGTCACTGATATTAAAATGTATAATGTTTTAAAAAAACTAAAAATAGCTACATGCACGCAGCAACCCCCTCGCTATTTCAAAGCAAGCACGCAATTTCCTGAACTAACTCGACCTAAGCTTATAATTTTTATTGTGAAATGACTCAATATATTCAAATCAGTTTTTACCATTCGATAAAAAGGTAGTCATAAAGTGTAAACATTGACCGTTTACTTTTTGCTGCATTATGCCATGAAGCAAGTAGTAGAAAGACTTAAATTGATATATTTGCTAATGTTTAGATACAATTAGATGCGATGTTTTGGGCCGGCGGGGGGCACGTTTGATTTCTTTTGTACATATACGCGTTTTGAAAAAATCAAACGGATTAATCCATCGGGAAAAACAGAATATATGGATACGCATTCCCTACCCAAATTATCTCGCACGTTTCGGCCCTAAGTCCGCCCAAATGTTCTTCAAAACCAGGTGTATTTGGAAAAATAGCTCAGGTAAATTCGAAGAGGAGATAAAGAAAACTAAACAAACTGAACAACCCTTAAAAAATATTCTAAATAGAAAATTTGAAGGAATTCATTAGCTTATATCGACATTAAGAAAAATAAACTCGATTATTTAAAGCGGATTGCTTAAACCCCAAAAGCGGTACAATCAGAGCACTGATTTCTAAGAACACTTAAAAAATCTCTATGATATGATCGACCTGTCAAAAAAGGGAGAGAGTTTAATTCACTCCTTTCAAATGTTCTGTGTCTCTAATTTTTATAAAGCATCTTTCAAACCAGCAAGCGTACGATATTTGTGACACCTCTCTGCACTGGAGTTCCGCATCTCTAGACTAATACAAGAATTACATAATGTTACATGCTGTCTTCAATATATGTGCTTAACCTTTTCTTTAGTGATTAAATACAATATTGAAACAATATTTTTCAGGGTACACTCACATTTTTACATGCACTATAGTGAAAAATATTTGTCTGCTGTGACAACAAGTTTCATATTTACTTTCTTTTTAAATCAGAAGCCATACAAGTTGCTAAGATGAAGAAGAACATTTAATCATGGCGGAATCGCAAAATTTCACTGAAATGACTCAAAAGTTTGACATTACATCAACATCGGTAGATAGAAGTATTTTGCTCTCTATCAATAGTGAAAATGTCCAAATGGTCGGAGGCGTGAGCCTCAATATCAATGGAGCAAGACTACGCGATGTCTACCGCAGTAGTAAAGTTGTAATGAAAGTAATCGACGATGCTATTTTGAGAGGTTTTGGTGGCACCAGGCATGATCAAGAGGTTCAGAATGTCGACCCAGAGTATATTCTTGTAATCATGCACTGCTCTACAGATGAAAGATTTATTGACGTGTTGTCGAATTATGACTCAGGAAGAATGATAAATCGAATGCAAGAAGAATTTGCAAAGATTGGCCTTGACGTAAGAGAATTGGAAATTAAGATCGAAAACTTGAAAGAAGTGAACAAACAGAAAACCAGGATTTTGAGGTATTTGGCATTTACTTTATAAAAATGTGACAGTAGCGAAATTAAATCAGAAGAGAACTTTTTCCTTGGATACTGCATGTCTTAACAAACGTGTACCTCTATGAACCCTATCATCTAGCTAAAAGAGGAGTCTTTCGTACCCCTTAACATGATATCAATCATTTTCATAATGGTAGATACGATAAGCAAAGAAGTGCATTTTTGCAACACTAATTTGGCTACAGTTAGCTGTACCATGCTATTATATGATTGAAGACAAATTTTAAGAACAAACATGAATTGGTAGTTGATTTCTGAATACCTAAAAAATGTTCTTTTACATGCAGTGTATCTTAAAATCACCGGTTCTGCAGGAATCAATTTTTAAGTGGATTTCTTGCCCGAAATGTTTAAAAAAGTGTCATTAAAGACAAATGTGCAGACTTTAAAATGAGATAATTCTCCGTTAATTTAGGAATCCTCTGTGGGACACACTGCATGTATAGGCATTTATACGTATAAAACCCTTTCAGCAACCAGGTAATGACAACTGGCTCCGGCAATGTCTTTTTTTCGCATACTATACTATGATTAACTTATAGAGTGTAGCATCATAGTTTTGATTGTCAATCGATTTAATAGCTCAACTGCATGATTTTTGGGAAAATCGTACTTAATTTAAGGCGCTTTTTACATTATGGCGGTTAGCAGATATTCAACGAAGCGTTTTCCGGCTATAAATACTATTTGTAACTAACATTATCCAATTCATCACAGCAAGTTTGTCTGGAAAAAATTTGAATTTACGCAGAAAAATCATTTTTATCGCTGTAGTACGCAGTAGTCCATTGCTTTACCTAGTACACTTTCCCACCTTTCAGGCTTAACAACAATATAATTTCATTTCGTTTATTATAAGCAAACGCATTCTTTGAGGGATATTAGGGATTAAATGTCCCACAAACAGGGAGGTTTAGCAAAGGACGTTTAACATGCGTTTAGTTTGTAATAACATGGTCGCCGAGGGAAAAAACAATAAATTAGATGGTTTTGTTTAGCGAGATATCTTTATGGAAGTGGTTCAGTGATTAGAATATTTATATCCGCCATCCCTGTACTTGGGGGAAATACGTCGTTTAACGTCCCTGTTGAAACAAAAGAAACCGAGGCGACCATGTTATTGCATAAATAAATATGCTTATATGCTTATAGGCAGCGTTCAGATTAACGCTTGTATTCTAAAAGCTCACTCACACTCAAACCCATTGAGTGGGAGATCCTAATCTTCTCATCATGTTTCAATGGCGGTATCTCCAGCCGAAAAGTGGCTTGATTTTCAGTGATTTACCTTTACCTAATGAAAGAAAACTTTCTCATTGACCAGCATTAACAAAATTTATATGCCACACTCAATGAGTATAAGTGTGAGTGAGCTTTTTGAATACAGGCATAAGTCAGTGACCGAGGCAATTTTGCCCGGCACTTTTTCTGGCGCCAAAGTTGAACATGATCGCCTCCAAATGAAATTGGCCACGGTGCCCAAGAACGGGCACAACCTCCAGAGGTAGTAGTCAACAAGGGCTCTGTGATCAGCATGTTTCGACTTTGGGTACCGGTGCCGGGCACTTAATTACCAGAATAAATCATCCCTCCACTTTCTTATTGGTGGTCCTAATATAAAAAGTCGGTTCAAAAATACCCAAATTCCTCCGATACTTGGAACGCGTGCACAAGGTAATCGCGGTAGCGCGTTTTAGCTAACACACGAAATTGCTCCGGATTCCTCCCACTAAAATTATAACCATAAAAATCCTTGCGAGTATGAAAATAAACGTTACGTTCACTTCTTAATTAAAATAACTGATTTTGCGCAGATCAAGTGCTATGAAAAATCCTTGTGATGGGATGAAAGATCTTGCCATAGCTGATGAGAAGACGTGTAATAAGGGTAACGAGGTAAGTAGACAGGGGCGTGTTGGGGTGGGTGCAAGCAAGGTGGTTGGTTAAACGCGTTTGTCGGTATCCTATAAAGGCACACGAGCATCGGTAATAATAACATTTAATTTAACGAAAATCGATATCTGGTTAGATTCCCACCGTGGTCAAGATAATTTTTCAGCTTTTTTGGGCATTTTTTTTCATGGCAATTTCTGCCATTAAGTGGGGACAATATCTGAAATATTACATCATAAATAACTGAAAAGAAAAATTATTTTCTTAGACCAAAACGAAAATCGTAACCAACAACTGCCATTCAGTACTGGCATCAAAACAAAAAGATCTTGAAATTACACAGAAGCTTTACGGTGAAAATCATCTCAAAACAGCACAAAGTTACTACGATATTGGAGTGGCAAAAGGAAAGTTGCAGGATTACATGTCAGCATTAGAATTTCATCAACGTGCTTTACAAATCAGATTGAAGCTGAATGGAGATGACACTGGAGATAGTTATCATGAAGTTGGTGTGGCACAACACATGTTGAAAGAGTATAAATCTGCATTAACATCATACAAGCATGCCCTTGAAATAAAACTGAAACTGCATGGAGAGAATCATTCATCTTCTGCCTCAACCTATAATAGAATTGGAGTCACACAATACAAAATAAAAAACTACAAATCATCATTAGAATCGTTTCAACATGCCCTTGAAATCAGATTAAGAGTGTTTGGCGAGAATAATTTATCTACTGCAACGACTTATTTCAACATTGGCGTCACACAACATGAAATGAAAGATTACAAGTCAGCATTAGAATCGCATCAACGTGCTTTACAAATCAGATTAAAGTTGAATGGAGAAGAACATAGTGACACTGGAAATAGTTATAACTGGGTTGGTCTTGAACAACATTGCTTGAAAGATTACAAATCAGCATTAGCATCATATCAACATGCCCTCCAGATACGATTAAAACTGTTTGGAGAGAATAATTTATCTACTGCAACAACTTATTTCAAGATTGGCGTCACACAACATGAAATGAAAGATTACAAGTCAGCATTAGAATCGCATCAACGTGCTTTACAAATCAGATTAAAGCTGAATGGAGAACAGCATAGTGACACTGGTGATAGTTATAACTGGGTCGGTCTTGAACGAGATTGCTTGAAAGATTACAAATCAGCTTTAGCATCATATCAACACGCCCTCCAGATCAGATTAAAACTGTTTGGAGAGAATAATTTATCGACTGCAGTGGCTTATTACAATATTGGAGTCACAGAACACAAATTGAAAGATTACAAGTCCGCATTAGAATCACATCAACGTGCTTTACAAATCAGATTGAAGCTGAACGGAGAACATCGAAGTGACATTGGAAATAGTTATCGTGAAGTTGGCGTTGAACAACATTGCTTGAAAGATTACAAACCAGCATTAGCATCATATCAACATGCCCTTCAGATAAGATTAAAACTGTTTGGAGAGAATAATTTATCTACTGCAATGACTTATTTCAACATTGGCGTCACACAACATGAAATGAAAGATTGCAAGTCAGCATTAGAATCACATCAACGTGCTTTACAAATCAGATTAAAGCTGAATGGAGAACAGCATAGTGACACTGGTGATAGTTATAACTGTGTTGGTCTTGAACAAGATTGTTTGGAAGATTACAAATCAGCTTTAGCATCTTACCAGCAAGCCCTACAGATCAGATTAAAACTGTTTGGAGAGAATGATTTATCTACTGCAATGTCTTATTTCAATATTGGAGTCACACAACACAAAATGAAAGATTACAAGTCAGCATTAGAATCGCATCAACGTGCTTTACAAATCAGATTAAAGCTGAATGGAGAACAGCATAGTGACACTGGTGATAGTTATAATGAAGTTGGTTTTGAACAAGAGTGCTTGAAAGATTACAAATCAGCATTAGCATCATATCAACACGCCCTCCAGATAAGATTAAAACTGTTTGGCGAGAATAATTTATCTACTGCAACGACTTATTTCAACATTGGCGTCACACAACATGAAATGAAAGATTACAAGTCAGCATTAGAATCACATCAACGTGCTTTACAAATCAGATTAAAGTTGAATGGAGAACACCATAGTGACACTGGTGATAGTTATAACTGGGTTGGTCTTGAACAAGAGTGCTTGAAAGATTACAAATCAGCTTTAGCATCATATCAACATGCCCTCCAGATAAGATTAAAACTGTTTGGAGAAAATAATTTATCTACTGCAACGACTTATTTCAACATTGGCGTCACACAACATGAAATGAAAGATTACAAGTCAGCATTAGAATCACATCAACGTGCTTTACAAATCAGATTAAAGCTGAATGGAGAACACCATAGTGACACTGGTGATAGTTATCACTGGGTCGGTCTTGAACAAGAATGCTTGAAAGATTACAAATCAGCTTTAGCATCTTACCAGCAAGCCCTACAGATCAGATTAAAACTGTTTGGAGAGAATGATTTATCTACTGCAATGTCTTACTTCAATATTGGAGTCACACAACACAAAATGAAAGATTGCAAGTCAGCATTAGAATCGCATCAACGTGCTTTACAAATCAGATTAAAGTTGAATGGAGAACATCATAGTGACACTGGAAATAGTTATAACTGGGTTGGTCTTGAACAAGAGTGCTTGAAAGATTACAAACCAGCTTTAGCATCATATCAACACGCCCTCCAAATACGATTAAAACTGTTTGGAGAGAATAATTTATCTACTGCAGAGGCTTATAACAATATTGGAGTCACACAACATGAAATGAAAGATTACAAGTCAGCATTAGAGTCACATCAACGTGCTTTACGAATCAGATTGAAGCTGAACGGAAAACACCATAGTAACATTGGAAAAAGTTATCGTGAAATTGGCCTTGAACAACGCAATTTAAAAGATTACAAATCAGCATTAGAATCATATCAACATGCCCTCGAGATCAATTTAAAACTTTTTGGAGAGTATCATCCCCAAACTGCGGAACTTTATCGCCAAATTGGAGTCACACAACACAGCAAGCACACAATGGAAGGTTACAAGGCAGCCTTAGAATCATATGAGAAAACTCTTCGTATCAGATTACAAATATTTGGTGAGCGTCATGTTGATACTACTCAAAGTTATCAGGATATTGGACTCGTACAAGACGCAATGAAAAATTGCAAATGAAACGGATATTTAGTTTATTTCCAGTGGATAATTCCATGTGAAGTAAACGAAGGTATTCTATACATAAGTAAAAACTTCATGAAACTAATTCTATAGTTGCAGGGCATACAATGCTTTGTCAGATTGCCGCCTATAGTGTCTGGTATCTATATTGAGACAGTGGTACGCGTAGGCGTAGATGATTTTAAGTTTATGAAGGAAACAAAATTAGAGATGCATAATACAGATAATTAGACTTACCTAGCAGAAAAACACGTCGTAAATTTTGCTATCAAAATAGGAATTTAATTTTAACAGTTAATGAAACAATTAAATTAAAATATCCCCGCCAACATGAGTAGAACTTTACAGTAGTGTCAATCAATATGCACTTTATGTGCAAATGAAAGTGGTAATGCATGTTATTACACTGGCCGCGCAAGGAGTCTAGGACAATGGGCAAGAATAAATGTATTTAATGAACATTTCCATGTCTTACGGCGAGCGAGATATTCAAAGCTAAGCAATTTCGCACACGAATATCCACAGTTATTCATTACTATTAGATTAGATTGAAAACAAAATGGCGCACTCTTAATTATTACTGGAATCATATGTTATTTAATTTCTATATATTATGTTCAGAATGTATACAGTTCGCTTGATTTACGTTCAAAGGAAGCAACAATAAAATTTCAGACACGTATACAAATTAACACGTACAAGTAACCACGTTCTACAGAAACAACAAATGAATACAATGTACATTTTATTTCTTGAACGAGTTTGCATTGTTTTGCGTTTCACCTAAACTGAAAACATGACCGAACTACAAAATGCTCTACGCCGCTGGTTTTGACACCCGACTACATTTAGATAATTGCACGGCTAGAATACGATAACAAGCAATTCAAATTCAAGGCCGTCATTTGGTTTGTAGGAGGCAGCAGTGTCAAAAAGACCTTCTCATAATAACGACGTCAAACGCGCGATTGTAACGAACAGAAAGTTTGATTGAATTCACAAAACTAGTGAGCCAATCAAACGTCTGGTACGTCAGATTTTCCGACGTCATTATTAAAAACGTCATTGTTATGAATATATAGATAATCTGCGTGCGTGATCCTGAGGTGCTACCATGCTACAACTACATTCGTTTCTAGTGACTAGTAATGGGCGTATTGTTTTGAATAGTTACATCATGTGCGTGCATCATTTCTTAAGCCCGGCTTACAGGGCTGAAAATTCATCCCGGTATTGTTATGAAATGCCAAAAAAGTACACCTCGCAATTATATGACAGTAATTTTAGCTCGGTTTAAGCTACCCGGGCTGCCGGGCTGAAACTAAGTGTTGTTGTCATGTAATCGTAAACAAACGTAAACCCAGACAGAAATATTCGCTTTGACAATGCTTTTTCTTTTGTTTATTTTACCTTTATGTGCAATCATTGCCTCTTAAAGGAGACTTAAGGAGTTATTTGCCGTAGCGAATAATAAGTTTATTGCTTGCGTGTATTATAACTAGTTTATTTGTAGTTTGTAGATAACGTTATAGCTATATAGGGTAGCGCACGCGTAGAGCAATGGAGGGAAACTCGTTTGTAAACCGGCCTATCTATAGATTTGAGTACAGGGGAACTTTGTTACGTTTTGGAGAACGTGCTCTCCTGATTTATTCCTAGCGGAATTAGAAAGTTCAAGGCTATTCGCACTTTGCTACAGTTATAAGTAATATTCCCCTCACGTGCATTGAGCATGTTTCACGTGCACAGTCAGCATACCTATATAAAGCGATCCGAAAGGTTCAAGGTCATTTTATATTTGATCTCGTCGAAGCAATTTCGGAAGTTTTCACCCGGCCCTCCCTCCCTTTCTCTAGGTTATGAGCTACGATAATTTCTGTGTAATTATGATGGTGTGGGCGTTTTTTATCAACCCCCCTTTTCTGTGCTGTACTAAAATACGAACATTGTAACAATTAGCTATAATTTGTTAGTTTTGGTTGAATTAAATCGGCATGTGGTGCTCTGGCACATTGCCATTATTTTATCCAAAAAGTGTTATTGTTCATTGCAGTTGCATGCCTTTAATTTGCCCAGAAAACAGAGCTCACCAGTCTCGGAAACCGCCGGCACCTCCTATAAGGCCCTGTCAGACTGTTGCGTATAATAGGAACGTATGAGTCGCGTATAAAGATCGTTTCATGCATTTTTATACGCACGAAAAAGTCTGCAAAAATAGGACATTTTGCATAAAATTAACTTATTAAACGTATGAGTATCGTATGAGTAGCCTGTCGCTGGCGTATGCCAGCGTATGAATAGCTTACTAGAAGCGTTTGAAATGCGCATGTCAAGCATACCAATGGCGTTTCACAGACTTTAATCGTATATAAGCGGCAGTATTTTCACACGACTCCATTCGAGAAAATGTCAAACCTACAGTGAAAAAAAAAGAAGACACCATGGCAAATACGAAGACATCATCTACCCGCGGACGAAGGAAAGGAAAGAGGACTCCATCATCAGCCGTTGCCAAAGCTGACGAACAACGTGTTTGTGCACCTGCAGATGTAGTTGAACCACCTGATGATGATGCACTTATTCCTGAGACATCTTTAAATAATGCGCGACATGTTCCTGAGCTCTCAAAGTCCCCAACACAACCTTCCCAAGACTCCCATAATTCATCGGCTTTATCATCTGAAACCATTGATGACTTTACTTCCTTCCGGCGGGCTGATAGCAAGGAGAAAAATAAGAGGAAGAGGGCGAAAAAAAAACCCTACAACCTCAGCGCCACAGAAGAGGAGCTGATGCTGGAGTTTATCATGGACAATCCTGTGCTGTGGAATGTGAAGATGACAGATTATAGGCGAAAAGACAAGAAAGAGAAGATCTGGGAAGAGCAAGCACATCAGATGAATAAGACTGTTGACATCCTCAAGGGCTGGTTCAGATCGCTGCGCGACACCAATACGCGCCTTGACAAAAAGAAAAGCGGGGATAGTGCTCCAAACCTGACTAAGAGAGAACAGTGGATCCTCTCAAAGTTTGCCTTCCTGAAGACTGTCACTCGCCACCGACCAGAGCCCATGCAGAGTGTAAGTATACAACCATATTACCTTAGCAACATGATAACCAAGTAATTTGAGACAATTTCCACATGATATTTTTGGTTTTTTTAGGTGAAGGAAACCATCCAGCTTGGTGATCCTGCAGGGACTCACTCTTGCTAGAAGCTCATCAAACATCTCGGGGACCATCCGCATAAAGTTCTTGAAACATCGCGTATCCTCGCTTTGGAGTTCCACCAGAAGTTGGTCGTAAATGCCAAACTGCCTTCGCCTTCCGATCCATGATCTCACCCATACCTCACGTCTTTTTCTTTTTCTTTTTCTCCTTTTCCTTTTGTTATTTTCTATGTGACGAATCGTCAAAGCTATGAGATCAAACTGGTATTCAAGAACAGCTAACTCCATCCTTTATCCTCGAAGGTACAAGATGATATGAAGGCATCCAACATAAATATATACTATAGACAAAAAATGACATGCTATAATATTTATAATTATACCCTTTGTCGTAACGTTTGCAATACGCTGAAGATACGACGACCAGGCGTTAACTATACGCTAATTGTACGGTAAATGCGTTACTTAATCGTCAGTCATACGCTAAGCCCTCTATAAACGTTAAACATACGTCTCACATAAGTTAGACCTCCGTTACTGATGCGCTATCAACACGTTAGTTGTACGGCACACTTACTCATTTGCGTATGATTAGCGTACTCAACCTATTAGTACAGTACATTTAGCGTCCTTCTGCCGTATTCAGCGTATGACTAGCTTATCTTTACCGTATAAACCATACGTCCAAACACGCACAAGATTTTTAAGCATGCTTAAAAAAAATTTTCTTCCTCGGCGTATACCAGCGTATGTGACCGTGCTTGGAACGTGTATAACTTACGCACGACGTACCACCAACATATTTCAGCGTATTCCGGCGTATGCGTGATATTTATCATACGCTGCCATACGCTAATGTGATACGCAACAGTGTGACAGGGCCTATAGGGTTTGTAGTTGAAACGGAAGCGATAAAGGTCAAGTTATTGTCATTTGGGATTTTAAAGCGCTCGAAGAATCGAAATAGGTCTACTACCAGCCTTTACAAACTCAGCCCGGTCTTAAAATATTTCTGAAGCGTAATAAACACAGCCCTAGCTGAAAAGACACCATGTAATCAGCCCATAAGTTATAGCACAAAATGAAAAAACATGGCGCGTCAGCTTTTTTTAATTATTCAGTCATGCTGCAGCATCGGTTATAATCAATATCGCGCAACCATTTATTGTGTCTACGGTAAACTCCAGTTACATAATGGTGCCCTGGTGTTGAATAAAACGACTAGAGCCTTCTTGATTGAATTTCGTAGAAACATCTTTATTATTACACGATCCATACATGTCAGGATGACTACCAGAGTTGCATCCGTAATGCATGGAGTTCAAAGGATCGTACAAAGACTCAATGGTTATTCTATATTTGTAAATATGGCAGACCGCATTTAGGTAAGTATAGAATTAAGTTAACCTGTAAACAGAGTCGAAATAAAAAACATACATGTGGAATAATTGCGCACAAATTTTTTTATAAGTGCATGTTTATCGTGTTGTAAACTTCTTTCTAAAATTTCAGAATATCGGCCGAAGCACATAACCTCAGCGAAACGTTTTTACCAAAAACTGTCTAGTTTGCAAGGTATTATCTATATGCTTTGAAATAGGACCTGAGTTGAGAGTTATAGGCAAAAGTTTTTCCAGATCTGCAAGACACTCGCACACAGGCCGTGAAACACAAATTACAATTTCTCTTTTTTCATTATATAGGCACCAACGCAATTTTTGTTCGCACAAGATTTCCAAGGTGAAAGCCCCAGATTCTCAATTTAAACAAAAGCAAGATAAGTTGAAAGTTGTTATAGTTGCCACGGGAAGGGAAAATATGATAGAGTAATTATACTTTGTACCGATTCTGAAGTAGTTGCTCACACGCAGTTCTTCTAAGAAACAATATACGCGTTGTTTTATTAGTCACAGAAGCCTAAATTTAGAGGGATTAGCCAGAAAAACGAATATCGACTAAATTATTCCGGATCTTCGGTTTGCACAAAATTATCACGAAAGATTTGCCTTCAGGCCTTTCCAGGAGCAATCTAGGAAGCACGAGGGAAATAGAAATGCGCGGGAAATAATTATTTCAATTAAATTTAACAGAAAATTTTCAATAAGAACACATTATTTGACTATCGTCTACACGTAACCACTATATTTCTACTATACAATTCTTCTTCTTCATTCTTACACATGCAACCTGGAAGCAGGGCTCTCACAATTTAAATATGCAGACTTTTACTGTGCGGTAGCATGCTTTATAATAT